ACCCACCTACCATCAGGGAAATGACCCTGCCATATTGCTACCTCTCGGCGGGAAGAAGCCCAGGGTAGAGATATACTATAAGCATGGATGGTCGCACCCCCTGTAGCAAAGGTTGCCTGATATGTTCCATTATGATGCCCTGTTTTCCGTTGAGGACTGGAATGTGAAGTGAAAAAGAAGCTGGGAGGGGGGAGATGGGTACTGGTACAGGGACATTTTAGAAGGGATGGGTCAGAAGGGGTCAAGCTGGAGGGCGGGGATGGACAGATGAGTCTATGACATGACCAATAGAGGACTCTCCCCTCAGAATCAGGGACAGAACTCAGAAGTCCTGAGTTTTACCTGTTCTCTGCTGTCAGAAAATATCTATGAAACCCACCGGCAAAGTACCTTCCTCACTCACCTATGGTGGCCAGTCCCCATGGAGGATGACAACCTACTACTGCTATCAGTTACTTGGTTAGCTTAACTGGCAAGGTGTGTGCGGGGCATCTAAAGGTTCAAGGATCTATGGAGGTGTCAGTATGATGTGACACGATGGAACTGTTTTGTTTTTCAGTTTATTTTTTTTAAGCCTAGGCAATTACACACAAAGAACTACATTAAAGGAACATTCAGGTGGCAGAAGCAAGCCCTGGGAAGTAACAAAATGCCAGGATTAAGACTGACGGCACCTTGTTATGGAATTAAAGACTGTATCATAATGCAGAGCACCTGCCTCTATTCTATGTTAAAGGCCTCTCGGATGCTGTCCAGAGCCTGCTCCTTGGTTATTTTCTTCCACTCTGGGGGGAGATCGGCACGCTCCACATTGTACTCTCTGGCAAACTCTCGATTGAACTTTCTGAATATGAACTTCCAATAATCAGAGGCGCTGATGCTGGGGTCCGGTTGGATGTGCCAGGTGGGGTAGAATTGGCGATAATCTTTGTAGGGATGCCATTTAAATGCCATGTTCAGGTTTTTAAAAGATTTACTAGAAACTACATCAGAGGAGCACAAAGAATACACAAGCCTGTCAGTTGTCACATAACTGTAGCCCCCCAGCCCTTGAGGCCGATGCACTGATGCAAAATGCTCCTTGTGGTCGCTGCCTCCTGCTTCACAGGGGACTTTACAGAATGGACACTGCTTCCCACAGCCGAACACGCGCTGGAAGATCTCATCCTGAGGCTTGAACTGGAGCTGTGTAAAGACCATCTCCCCACTCAGCTTTTCCCACTCCAAGAGGATGCCTTCTTCCACCTGGGGGAGGAAGGTCTGGATGTCAGCTGAGAACTGCCTGACACTGGCTGTGTTCTTGAAGAGGATCACCTCCAAACTGTCCTTGGAGATGACTAGCTCCTTGTACATCGCTTGGCAAAATTGCTCCAAGAACTCAGAGATGGTGGGGGCATCTTGGCACTCAGAGCTCTCCAGAGTGTCCTGGATTTTCTTCATGATTGTGGCTAGAACTGCTCTCTCCAGCTCCCGCAAACTCCCAGTCTCTCTGTAGTGGCTGATCAGGCATGTCTGGATCCAGGCCTTTACAAACTCTTCATAGTTTCTGACGTATTTCACATAGTTATCGAAGTCCATCTCCTCCAGCAGTTTCTTCTGCACAGTAAACTGGAAGAAGCTCTGGCTGCTGTATTTGATGGACTCTCCACTGCTTAGAAAGTCATCCACTATCTCAATCCCGAGTCTCTTTCTCATATATTCCCATAAAGCAGGTGTCAAACACTGGTTGATGAAATCAAAAGCTCTCTTCTGGCAGGCATCCTTCTCATAGTAAACGTCTCTGAAGGTGGAGAAATACTGAGGTCTCAGCTCCTCCAGGCGACGCTGAGGGTCGTTCTTCTTGAGAAAGTCTTCGTGCATCTTCTGGAAAGCGCTGGCTGCCTCCCCCAGGATGTGAAGTTTTAAATCAACTTCGAAGGAAGCACTGGTGCACATCTTCCCAGCGATGTGCTGGGAATGGCTAGGCAGCAGTTCTGCGGAAAAGGACCTAGGGGTGACAGTGGATGAGAAGCTGGATATGAGTCAGTAGTGTGCCCTTGTTGCCAAGAAGGCCAATGGCATTTTGGGATGTATAAGTAGGGGCATAGCGAGCAGATTGAGGGACGTGATCGTCCCCCTCTATTCGACATTGGTGAGGCCTCATCTGGAGTACTGTGTCCAGTTTTGGGCCCCACACTACAAGAAGGATGTGGATAAATTGGAAAGAGTCCAGTGAAGGGCAACAAAAATGATTAGGGGTCTGGAACACATGAGTTATGAGGAGAGGCTGAGGGAACTGGGATTGTTTAGTCTGCGGAAGAGAAGAATGAGGGGAGATTTGATAGCTGCTTTCAACTACCTGAGAGGTGGTTCCAGAGAGGATGGTTCTAGACTATTCTCAGTGGTGGAAGAGGACAGGACAAGGAGTAATGGTCTCAAGTTGCAGTGGGGGAGGTTTAGGTTGGATATTAGGAAAAACTTTTTCACTAGGAGGGTGGTGAAACACTGGAATGCGTTACCTAGGGAGGTGGTAGAATCTCCTTCCTTAGAAGTTTTTAAGGTCAGGCTTGACAAAGCCCTGGCTGGGATGATTTAATTGGGGATGGGTCCTGCTTTTGAGCAGGGGGTTGGACTAGATGACCTCCTGAGGTCCCTTCCAACCCTGATATTCTATGATTCTATGAAAGGAGGCTCCTGAGTCTGCTTGCAAGGGGTTGGAAGAGTATTGTAAAGGCATGAAGCCAAAACCAGAGAAAAAGGCAGCATATGGACAGCTGCCAGTCATTTTTCAAGTTTGTTGTTATTCCAGGAAATTAAACTGGAGGATTGTCAATTGGAGCTAGGGGTGGTGAAAGATAATTTGGCATTAGAAGGCTTGGAGTCTGAAGCAGAGTTAACAGACCACCTTAAGAGAGAGGAGCTGGGACTTGGTCACAAGGGAGTGGAGAAAAAAAGGGTTTCAAAGTGAAAAACGGAGGAGAGTGAGCGGGTTAACGTCTCGAATGAACGCATTAACACAAGGAGTTGCCCAGAAACAGATAACTGCAGCCGAGAATGGCAATCCTGTCATCCATTTGACATACAAACCAAAGCAACAGACAGAGGGGGAACAAATTCAGGGTTTGCAAGAACCGGTAAGAACCCTCACTTTCTTCCCAGACCCTGGATAAAAACGAGGGGTAAGTCTTCCCAGCTGTTTTAACCCAGGGAACCCCATTCTTCATTCAGAGCTAACTATATCCTCGTCTTCTCCGCCTCCTCAGTTTGCAAAACTTGCTGCTGTTCGCCTGTACTTTAAAATGACTTTGCAGGGTTAATCGGTTTGTAGCGGGGTGCACACCCGCTCGGGCCCTGTCAAGGTTTCGTCCCCACTCTGATCTCTAGGGTACAGATGTGGGGACCTGCATGAAAGCCCCCTGAAGCTTATTCTTACCAGCTTAGGTTAAAAACTTCCTCAAGGTACAAACTTTGCCTTGTCCTTGAACCATCTGCGGCCACCACCAGGCATGTTAACAAAGAACAGGGAAAGACCCCACCTGGAGACAGGAGTTGCAGGGGCAGCCACGGGTAGGCAGAGGCCGCTGGTCCAAACCCAACCTTGCCTGTGATGGGTGGCTCACACTGCAGTCTGCCCCAGGGCACGGGGGCTAGCTGGTGACTAGCAGGAGCCTACGACTGAGGCAAGGTGGGGATAGTGGGTGGGGGGTTCCCCTGGGAGGGGAGACCCAGAACTGTGGGGTACTGACAGGAGCCAGCACCCAGTGAAAGGGGCACCGGGGTCCTGGGAGGGACAGAGGAGCCAGCAGCAAGGCGAGACACTGGCCTGAAGAGGGCGCTCTGGAGGCTGGAACACTAATTCCCCGAGACGACCAGGAAGAGGTGCCGCCGGTGAGTCATTGTCCGGTTACACGGTTGCTTCCCACCCCTCTCACACTTTTTGTTTTTCTGAAGTTTTAATGGAGGAGACCTATGTGAATACTTTGGATACCTATGTGAAAGGTTTATTTTGTTGTTGGTTTTTTTTGTTGGTTTGTTTTTTCGGACAAAGCACGACAGAGGTCTGCTGCTTTCCACTGAAATTTTAAAGCAAAAGATCCATGGATGACCATGGAGACGTATATTTTTCTGCCTTTTTGAACAATCCCAAGGTAAAGAAAGCACAGACTAAGGCAGCTGTAAACAAAAATAAAAAGACAGTGTACCTCTGAACAACGGCAAGGGTCCAAGAGAAGAAGCGATGTTAAAAACACTGGACCCGTAAGGTGGCTCTGAGTAATAACACTGTAACTTTAATAAGGGTACACAAAACCTCTGTAAGCACAAATAAACAGTTACGCTTTATGTAAATATAATATAACTCTATGTAATATAATGGTATAGCATACAACAAGTGGAAGTTAAACTATAGAACAGTGTTTCTCAAACTGGGATCCGCAGACTCCTGGAGGTCCACGAGGGTACTCCAGGGGATCTGCAAGCCCTGCTGATCAACTCCTCCCCCTCCCTCCCAGTGCCCCCAGCACGCTGGGGAACAGCTGTTCAGCGGCATGCAGGAGGCGCTGGAAGGGAGGAGGAGGAGCGGGGATGGGGCAAGCTCGGGGGAGGGGGTGGAAAGAGGAGGGGCAGGGGTGGGGCCTTGGGGGAAGGGGTGGAATGGGGCAGGGCATGGGGCTGAGCAGGGGGTTTGGGGCTCCGTGAAAATGTTTAAATCAAAATGGGGCGTCCTCGGGTTGCTAAAGTTTGAGACCCACTGCTATAGAAGGAATGTGCATTTCCTTATGAAATTTGGAGTGTTTACCACAGGCGGGATCCAGTGGTTTTCAGTTTGGGATTTGGCCAACGCTTTCTTTGCGATCCCTTTACATCGGGACAGCCATTATACATTTGCTTCTACCTTCCAGGGGAAGCAGGTGTCTTTTGCCAAGATCCCAAATGGGCTGGACCAACGTCCCTATTATTTGCCCTGCCCCTTTAGTTAAGAGGTGGGATGGAATGCCTCTAAGAGACAGCGTGATTCCTTACGTGAATGATACCCTGGTTTGCACGGATACCCGGGAAGAGAATTTGAAAGGACTGGATAGGATGTTACCCAGTTTCCTGGATCTTTTGTTTACAGCGCCTGAAAAAAAAAAAAAAAAGAAAAAGCCCAGTTGTGCACCCAACAAGTGAATTAACTTGGAGTAATTTTGGAACAGGAGGGCATTCCCCTGATCAACAGACAGTGGAGCTGATTCTCAGACTTTCCGCTCCCACGGATGTCACGGCTCTTCGATATTTTCTGGAAATGGTTAATTTCTCCTGAGATTTCATGGAGGGATTTTCGCGATCCCTACTGCCTGAATTGTGAAAGGAGGGAGCAGACTGGGACAGCCCTTTGTGCTGCAGATGGCAACCACAGAAAGGGGGAGGGAAGCTCTGCTGAGTCAGAGCTATGGAACCGGGCTCTGCCCTGTGGCTGCTGTCTCCAAAGCTTGAGGTGAAGTAAAGAGGGGATTCACCCTCTGTGAAAAGGAGGTTTTGGCTCTAGTTTGGGCTTTGCAGCATAGGCGCCGACTCCGTGGGTGCTCTGGGACTGGAGCACCCATGGAGAAAACTTGGTGGGTGCTCTGCACCCACCGGCATCTCCCCGTCCCCCCCAGCTAACCTCCGCCTCTCCCGGCAAGGGTGCTGCTTTCCCCCCCCTCCCTCCCAGCGCTTGCGCTGTAAAACAGCTGTTTCGCGTGGCGGGGAGGAGGGGGAACACAGCGTGATGGGGGAAGAGGCGGGGCCGGGGCGGGGATTTGGGGAAGGGTCCAAGAGGGGCAGGGAGGGGGTGGAGTTGGGACGGGGACCTTGGGCAAGGGGTTGGGATGGGGATGGGGCAGGGGCGGGGCCAGGGAAGGGTGGGGCTCGAGCACCCACCGGCGCCAGGCAAAGTTGGCACCTATGCTTTGCAGCACTGGGAATACTTGGTGGGATTGCCCCCTGTGTTACTGGAAACTGCCCGCTCCCCAGTGAAATAGGTATCCATTGGCAAGATCAGGGCTGATGAATTTGCTGAGTCCCAAGTAGATGCTCAAAGCACAGTTAAAGATGAAAGCGCCCCCTCCTGGGGAAAAAGGGGGAGGGGGAAGAGGGTCTTATGCCCAAATAGGTCTAAGTACAAGTAATACGTTGAGTTAAATGTTTAAATTATATTTAAATGTATGGATCCCGCTATATAGGGAGGGGAGAAGTTTTGTTTTGGTTTGTGTTTTAGAGTCTCAATTGTGTGGATGCTGGAAGACCTTGGAGACAAGGCAGCCCTGGGTGCTGCTTTGGCTGGCATTTGGATCGCAGGCCTACTCCTCTGATGGTGTGAATCCGCAACCTTTTGTGCCCGCTTCGTGGGGAAAACTTCCTGTGGACGGCAGAGGTGTGCAAAGTAAATAACGATGTTGACCCTGGTAATCAGCCCATGCCTCCTGTCAGTGTTTAACGTCACTGGGACAAAAGTGACCCCACCCATGACCCACCTCGAGATGCCACAACCAAGGGCCATCAGCTGGTGGAAGAAGAAGGAAAAAAACAACGACGACGATACAGGACTTTGGGACTGCAAATTGGTGAGAAACGCTAGTTTCAATTTCAGTTCTTTTCCCACCCTTTGTGTTCATTTATGGACTGACGTCCCCAGCCGGACAGCATCGGGGGGAAGAGTCAAGTCACTTGAGGCTGAAATAATTCCTATTAACCCAAACCCTGGGGCAGGAAAGTCTAGGGGAGGCAGTACTACAGACAGCGACAGCAGAAGGGGAACGGGAGGTTCTTTTGCCGTGGACTTTGGAGGTCCCGGGTCCTCAAGGAATTTACAATAGGGATATTTTAGGAGTTTTTAATAGCATAAAAGAGGGGGTAAGCTTGCACCCTGCTGGTTTGTATTTGAAACCTGGTTTCCATCGGTGGTTTAAATGGTGACCACGCCGGTGGTTTTTGGAAATGTGGGAAAGCACAGGAAGATAAAAATACCATGCAAAGGAGACAAATACAAATTAGGGGACCGTCGCTAAGGGCTGGCCCGACCCAAGGAATGACTACCTGGAGGGAGGCCTCCTTTTAGGAAAATAGGATTCGGGAAGGAAATAAATTCTTAAGTAAAATAGGCTAGTAGGCTACGAAGACAGAATGTCCAAGGCGACTAATATAAGAGGGAGAACATTTAAGGAACTATTTACTATGAATCAAATGAAAAGAGACTTCTCCTCCCTCCCATTACACAATCAGCTGGCAGTATCTGGGATTCCCATCCTCCCCTGTTTCCTCTGAAGCATCAGGGATCAGCCACCCCTGGAGACAGGACACCGATGGGGTGGCCTGTGCCCCGAGCCGCTCCGGAGAATCCTTGTTCTGCTGGTGGGTCTGGCTCACGTCCTCAGGGTCACCAGATTGGGACTGGGAAGGAATCTCCCCTGGGTCAGAAGGGCAGGGACCTTGTGGGGGCTTGCTGCAGTGTGCGGATGCAGATGGCCTGCACGGTTATCTGGGTGTGTCTCACCTACTCCATTGCCTGCCATTGCAGGGGCCAAGGGCTTTGGGGGAGCACCGTCCCTCCTGCTCTCACCCATGGCATGCCACAGTTTGGTCTCCTATGTGCTGAAATAGTCTAACCCAAGTGAGAGGGTGACCACCAGGGGCTGGGGGAGGGATTCTCTAGTCTGCGCTATGCAGGAGGGCAGACGAGCTGATCTAAGGGGCCCTTCTGGCCTTCGACTCTGTGCAGCTCATTCCTGCCTCAGTTACAAGGGGAGCCTGACCGCAGGGCTGAGGGGGGCCAGGAGCAAATTTTCCCCAGCCCTAATTTGGCTTCTTTACTGCTGCACCCTCAAGCATCTGTGTGGGGCAGAGCTGGGTGGGGCGGGGAGGGCAGCGGGTAGGGAGGGTTCTGTGTGACCACTGCCCCCAGTAGCTGCAATCGTGCGTGTGTGTGTGTCCATCCCCACTGCTGCCTAGTGACTCTGTGTACGTGTGTGTGTCCCATTTGCACACTGGTGATTCTGTGCGTGTCCCCCCTGCCACCTAGTCACTGTATATGTGTGTGTCCGTCCGTCCATCCCCACTGCCCCTTAGTGACTGTGTGTGTCTCCCTGCTGCCCCCTAGTGGCTGGGATTTTGTGTGTCCTTGTCCCTCCATTGCCCCCTAGTGGCTGGGATAGAGAGTGTGTGTGTCATGCATCCGATGCAGTGAGCTGTAGCTTACGAAAGCTTATGCTCTAATAAATGTGTTCGTCTCTAAGGTGCCACAAGTCCTCCTGTTCTTTTTATGGATACAGACTAACACGGCTGCTCCTCTGAAACCTGTAATACAAGGGTTACTCGAGCAGTGATAAATCAAACTCTATATAGTAATAGCGAAGAGGACAAAATGACTTTATGCCAAGAAGAAATGGTCTTGCGGTAAATCCACTGGTCGAGGCCTCAAGACTCCTGTGTTCTAGCCCTGGCTCTGAGAGGAAAGTGGGGTCTAGTAGGATCGGGGGTAGCACTGGGAATCAGGATCACCCTTCATTGGTAACAGAGAGAAGCTTTCGAAGCAGAGTCTGTGTGAGCTCCAAAGCTTGGCTCTGTCACCAGCAGAAGTTGACCCAATAAAAGACATTCCCTCCCCCACCTTGTCTCTCTCCTATCCTGGGCCCAACCGGACTCCAATGACACTGCAAAGAGACGGAGATGGGACCACCACGGTGCTTTGACATCAACCGAATAAACCAGCCTCCATGTTACACACGTTTCCTACAGAAGCCTGCGGATTTGGTAGTAACCAACTGAGATCTGCTTGGATCTGTGTTAAATTTTCTTTGATAGCATCTCGCTTAACAGAGTGGAGAGAGACCTTTGGTTTTCTACTTAGGATAACTGGACAATCACACTGATGGTCCATTCCCGCCCTTGGCTAGCTGATACTTGTAAGTTGTTTTTGTTTAAAGTCTCCATTTTGTAATATTTTATTTAAATTGGAACAATTGTCTTTTTTATCTTTGAAAGACAAAGGAGGGTTTTGGTTCAGGTTTGTTTTTCTTTAGGTCAGACTGGGCTGGCCTTTCAGATTTAAGCAAATACATTTCAAAGAAAAAGCAGGGGCTGGTTTTTTTTAAAAAACATAACTATGTGGGAGATGGCTTATGGGGTGAAGGGGTGGGAAACTATAGGGCTGGATCCTGATCTCAGTGACCCTGGTGTAAATCTGGAGTGACCCGATTTCAAGGCACTAGAAGCAGGCCATTGAATTCAATGATGGAGGGTTTTTAGTGAAAATTTACTATCCAAAATTGTTTTTGGAGGTGTGTGAACTGTCTGGGGGAGGGGACATGAGGCCTTTCCCCTCCAGTGGGTGTTGGCTCCAATCTGGCCCCAGGGCAGGGGGCTGGCTGGCTCAGGAGGGGAAGGGAATGGGACATTACCCTTTCCCTTGTCGAGGGCGCTGGCTCCTTGTAGTTAGAATCTCTCTTCCCCCCTGTCCTCCACATCCAAGACTTCCAGCATTTCCAGCCCATTGACAGGGGAGCTATCCTACCCCCAATGCTTTGCAGCCAGCCTACAGTGTGAGTAGTTTGGTCAACGTCCTGGGGCCCTGCATGTCAAAGCGATGACCACCTAGAACAAGGCCAGAGGAGATCCTTTGCTCCCATGTAGGGCTATTTGACCTGGTGCTGAGGATGTGGGGTGTGTGTGTGTGAGGCTGGGAGTCAGGACTCCTGGGTTCTAGCCCTAGCTCTGGGAGGAGAGTGGGGGCTAGTGGTTAGAGCAGAGGGGGCTGGGAGCCAGGACTCCTGGGTTCTATCTCTGGCTCTTCCACAGATACCTGGTGTGATCAGACAGGGCCCTGCATCTCTCTGCGCCTCAGTTTCCCCATGTATAAAATGGAGGTGATAGCACCTGGCCTGTTTAGACCGTGAGCTGGTTGGGGCAGGGACTGGTTTCCTGATGCACCTGTGCAGCACCAGGCATAACTGGCACCCTGATCACCTCTCCCCTCTGAGTCACCCCCTCCCCTCAGTCAATTACCCTTAGGCAGAGCCCATCCCAGTGCTGAAGACACGCACAGTCCTGGCCATCGGTGTGGGATCTTTTCACTCCATGGGGAGCCCGCCTGAGTTGACCCCAGGCTGCCCCCCTTTACAGAGTCCCAGCACCTCAAGGTGTGAGGCTGGGCATGTTGGGGGGCGGAGATCCAGGACCCAGCTACCCTGCCTCGCCATCGGGGTTGTGCCCCTGTGACAACAGTAGGGGGGAGCAGTCAGCTGGGGCTGGGATCTCAACTAGGGGACACCTGCTCCCGGGCATCTGTTGGCCAAGCCCAGCGTACCCCCAGGGGCCCCGTGCATCCCGCCACTCCCCCTCTCTGGGTGCCCCTCTCCCATTCTCTAGTTCGGGGTTGTCAACCTTTTCCTTGCTGAGGCCCCCCCAACATGCGATAAAAACTCCATGGCCCTGGTTTTCTGCATATAAGAGCTGGGGCCGGCGTTAGGGGGTAGCAAGCAGGGCAACTGCCCCAGGCCCCACGCCACAGTGGGCAACGAGAAGCTCAGTTTCTCAGGCTTCTGCTTCAGCCCCAGGTGACGGGACTCAGGATTTCAGCCTCCTGTGGCGGGGCTTCGTCTTTCTGCCCTGGGCCCCAGCGAGTCTGATGCTGGTCCTGTTTGGTGGCCCCCCCCGAAACCTGCTCACGGCCCCCCAGGGGTCCCCTGACCCCTGGTTGAGAACCACTGGTCTAGCTGAGGGACTCACTGCAACCACAAACCCCTCCCCCATGCCAGGGGCTCTGCATTCCCCCCATTTCTCCTCTCCACCCATGCCAGGACCTCTCTTTGCACCCCCATTCCACCCCCCCATACCAGGGGCTCAGGGTGCCCCCCATTCCTCCCCCCGCATTCTATTTCTTTCTCTCTGGAAGATCAGTCATTCAGGTGTCAACATTTTCAGGGTATCTGGGGCAGGAGCAGAGCCCTGGCTTCAGGAAAATAACCACCCAAAACCAAATATCAATGGTGCAATCTCTCAACATGACAAAACTCTGTGTTTGGAGAGGGTTGTATCTCAAGATCGCCTTGGTCAAATGGCCTCACACTTGGACCATTAATCCCACCCCATTCCCCCATGAGGCACAGCAAATTTCAAAGCAAACCGAGTAAACGTGAGGATTTTAGAGCCCTTTGAAGAGTGGCCCTTCAAACAGAAAGCTGTTCTCCAACTTAACCATAGCAGAGCCGCACTGCACTGGAATATTTGGGGGACTGAGTGGCGCTGAGATGGGCGGTGGAGTGTTGTTAGGCTGGAAGGGGTTAATTTCTGCCACCAACTGGTTCTTTGATCTACAGACAATTCTAGAGCTGGTTGAAGTTGATGGCTCTGCTGACCAGAAGCCAGGGACTCTGTATCTCCCATTTCTCCCTTCCGGGTTTTCCATTTTTTCCTAAAACCAGTAGGATTCTCCCCCTCAATGCCTGGAACATTCCTGGAAATTTAGGAATTGATCGGATGGGGCGTTCAAAAGATATCACGTTACCTCCCAACATCCAGCCAGCCAGACCTGAAGGTAAGTTTAGAGTCTCATTGCATTCAGCCAAAAATGTTACCTCCTATCAGAGACAGATGACCTGGTCCACCGTGCACCCAAAGCTGGATACACCGGAGAAACCTTTCTTGATACCCGCCACCATTCCAGCTTGGTTGTTTGACCACCAGCCAATGACCCAATGACCCAGTTCAATAAGGATAAGTGCAGAGTCCTGCACTTAGGACGGAAGAACCCAATGGACTGCTACAGACTAGGGACCGAATGGCTAGGCAGCAGTTCTGCGGAAAAGGACCTAGGGGTGACAGTGGACGAGAAGCTGGATATGAGTCAGCAGTGTGCCCTTGTTGCCAAGAAGGCCAATGGCATTTTGGGATGTATAAGTAGGGGCATAGCGAGCAGATCGAGGGACGTGATCGTTCCCCTCTATTCGACATTGGTGAGGCCTCATCTGGAGTACTGTGTCCAGTTTTGGGCCCCACACTACAAGAAGGATGTGGATAAATTGGAGAGAGTCCAGCGAAGGGCAACAAAAATGATTAGGGGACTGGAACACATGAGTTATGAGGAGAGGCTGAGGGAGCTGGGATTGTTTAGCCTGCAGAAGAGAAGAATGAAGGGGGATTTGATAGCTGCTTTCAACTACCTGAAAGGGGGTTCCAAAGAGGATGGCTCTAGACTGTTCTCAATGGTAGCAGATGACAGAACGAGGAGTAATGGTCTCAAGTTGCAGTGGGGGAGGTTTAGGTTGGATATTAGGAAAAACTTTTTCACTAAGAGGGTGGTGAAACACTGGAATGCGTTACCTAGGGAGGTGGTAGAATCTCCTTCCTTAGAGGTTTTTAAGGTCAGGCTTGACAAAGCCCTGGCTGGGATGATTTAACTGGGAATTGGTCCTGCTTTGAGCAGGGGGTTGGACTAGATGACCTTCTGGGGTCCCTTCCAACCCTGATATTCTATGATTCTATGACCCACCCAACGCAACTCAACAGAGAGCCATCCGCCATAAGGAGGGGCAAACTGGACGCCGCACCTGGATCCACCAACCCAACGGCTCAGGGCCTTGGGGCCACTTGCCCATTTCCCTGTCCGCATGCACAAGCTAAAGGATCTGGATTTCAGAGGGAAGTGGCTCATGGCTCAGCAGGGGGCAAAGTGTGTGTGGGATTCTTTAGATTTGTCCCACAAGGCACCTGGGATATATAATAAATGACCCACCTACCCTCGGGGAAATGACCCTGCTGTATTTCTGCCTCTCGGGGCAAAGAAGCCAAGGACAGAATACAGTACAGCAGAACCCCTTTTATCTGATGTAAGTGAGACTGGGGCCAGATTGGGTAATCAGAAATACAGAGAAACCGGAGAATGGGAAAGTGCAATGCTGCATCACCATCTAGTGGCCACAGGAGAGATCGCCCCCTTCTGGACCTGTGCACACTGGTTCTTCGGTTAACATGGAGAGCCGGATAATGGAGGGTCGGATAAACAGGGTTCTGCTGTATAGGCAGGGCTGCTAGCACCCCCTGTAGTTAAGGTTGCCTGACACTTCCCATTATAAAGCCCTAATTTCAGCTGGGGACTTGGAGATGTAGCAAAAGAGGAGCTGGTAGTGGGGAGACTGGGACTGATGCGGGGACATGGTGGAAGGGACGGGTCAAAAGGGGTCAAGATGCGGGGGAATGGACAGATCGGTCTATGACAGGACCGCTGGAGCACGCTCCCCTCAGAACCAAGGACAGAACCAAGGAGTCCTGAGTCTCATCATTCCTCTCCTTCAGCAAATATCTACGAAATCCACTGGCAAAATGTGTCCCTCACTCCCCTCTGCTGGCCGGTCCCCAGGGAGGATGACAACTTACTACTGCTATCAGTTACTTGGTGAGCTTAACCGGTGGAGGTGTGTGCACGGGATCTAAATGTTCAAGCCCTGCTGAGGAGCTATGGAGGTGTCATTATGATGCCACACAATGGAATTGCTTTGTTTTTCCACTTATTTTTTTTTAAACCTAGGCAATTACATACAAAGAACTACATTAAAGGAGCCTTCAGGTGGCAAATTCAAGCCCTGGGAAGTAGCAAAATGCCAGGATTAAGACTGACGGGGCCCTGTTGTGAAGTTAAAGACTGTATCATAATGCAGAGAGCCTGCCTCTATTCCATGTTAAAGGCCTCTCGGATGCTCTGCAGAGCCTGCTTCTCGGTTATTTTCTTCCACTCTGTGGGGAGATCGGCAGGATCCGCTTTGTACTCTTTGGCAAACTGGTGATTGAACTTTCTGAATATGAACTTCCAATAATCGGAGGCGCTGATGCTGGGGTCTGGTTGAATGCGCCAGGTGGGGTAGAATTGGCGATAATCTTTGTAGGGATGCCATTGGAAGGCTGTGTGCAGATTTCGAAATAACATTGAAGAAACCACGTCAGAGGAG